TAACTGGATGTTTGAGTTTTCTTCGATGAGCCCTGATGGACATCATTGTCAGGGAACAAACATACTGTGATACACCATGGAAAAAATTTCTCACCAAAATCACTGTACACAAGTGGAAGGAGACAACTGTGGCAGAGATGTACCTGTTTTTTGCCACAATAATGCTTATGCCACATGTGTATAAGCAAACTGTACACATACTGGCAACAGAACGCCTGATTTCAACTCCAGGTTTTAGTGACTTTTATAGGGTTAATCTTTTCCTGATACTGTTAGTATGTTACACTTTTCAAAAAAACCCAAAGCCTGAAGAAGCGACAGGTTATATAAGATAAGAAATGTGTTTATTACCTGAAACAAAAGTGCTGCATGTATTTTTATCCCTTCAGGAAGCTTATTATTGACGAGTCCTTGATTTTATTCAAAGGAAGACTCTAATTCAAGCAATATATCCCAAAGCAAGAGAAACCTTTGGTATAAAGCTATTTGTACTGTGTGAATTGCAGAAGTGGTCTAGTTTTGGATATCATTAAGTACACTGGCAGTAATACTTTGAGAGATACCATGAAGTTATTGGGTATCTCTGGTGATGTGGTTTCGAACAATGATGGAACCATATTTGGTAAGGGGCATATGTTATTTATTGAAACTGGTTAAACAAGCCCCTTACTCAGTGTTTCTTGCGACTGAACTTGACAGACGTGTGCACAGTGCGTCGTAATTGAAACATATGCCAAGGTCGACGCTGGCCTCGCAGAGGTGAGGTGCAAGCCTTTGCTGCCAATGACATCAGGGCATTTCGGTGGCATGACAAGTGATGTCACATTATTGACATCAGTTCACCGAAACGAAATGGTACACAGTGGCAGGCACAACAGAGACCAATGAACCCATTCTAAAGCCTGCAGCTGTCATGGACTACAACCTCAATATGCGCTTAGTGGACAAATGTGACATGCAGATTGGGTGCAGACTGTGTACGCAAGAGTTATAAGTGGTATATAAAACTTTTTTTCCATCTTGTTCTGTATAATCCGCCGGGTTTAGCGCTTCCCCCTTGATTATAATAATAATAATTTCCATCTTGTTGATATCTCTATGCTGAATGCTTATAACATATACAAGTTGAAGACCAACAAAACACCAAAATATGGTGAATTTTGCTTGTCAGTAATCAGACAAATAATTGCAAAGTACCAAGGAGCAACACCTGCAATAGACCAGCGCCCACGAAATTACCAACACACGTCATCTCGTTTCAGGCTTGATCACTACCCCATGCAACTGCCTCCTACTACTGCCAAGAAAAATGCTCAGAAGAGGTGTTATGTATGTATGCATACCACAAAACGCAGAGACACTCGTTTATGTGTGAGGAGTGTCAAGTGCCCTCTGCATATACCCATTTTTTAAAAGATTTCCACAAGCTGCAGCAGTTCTAGGAACGTGTTTAGTGACTGTACATATGTATATTTTATGGAACAATAGTAATAAACATTGTTTTTTTTTGTTTGTTTGTGTAAACAAAGTGTATACTCAAACTAAGTGATAAAGTTTGTTCTGTTATTGTGTTGTAAACGAGTGTATATTTGAAGAATGCACCTTACATTGGTCTCACAGGCCACACAAGTTACCTGGAACAGAAAAATATTGAAAAATGCAAGAAACCTTTGAATTAGAGTAAATAAAAGAATACCGGGTGGGTGGCAGTCGCCGCTGTTGCCGTACGCACGTCACTTTCTGCAAACTTTGCGGTTCTATATCTCGGTAAGTATTGATGGCAAAAAAAAATTTTTAGGCTTAAAACACTCAGAAAAATATTCCTAGCATTTTCATAAGAAAAAATATTTGTTTTTTTTTCGAATATTTGGCGACATAGAATGAGTTTCAGAGAGGGGCCTGAAACAGTCGAAGGGTTAAACTGTCTAAACGTAGATCTACATTCACCTGCGTGGCGCTCCGAATATTTTGAAAAATAAAAAAAATAATTTTTTGTTTTTAAATTAAAGAGGGCAATTTTCTGTGTGGTATAAGACCAAAAAAAAAAAAAAAAAAATAGGACCAGTACTTGCCGAGATATAAGACCACAAAGTTGTCTCTGGACGCTCACCTGATGGCAACATCCAGTCCTGTCGCTTGCAGAAGTGTTGCCAAGTTACCTCCTTTTCTCATTTTTATTTTAATTTGTATAGTTTTTATGTTCTGATAATTACAATTTCTAATAGTTCTTATGATTTCATAGCCAATCTTTGTTCTGACACTAATATAATGTACTGAAATAGTACTCAAATTGTAACAATCACACTGACAGGTGAATGTTTTCACCTGCCCTGGTCATTTACTATTTTTACTTTCCTCTTAAAATGTGAGTGTTAATATGACATGACATCAGTGAATCACTGGTGTTTGCCACGCTATTTGCTCTAGCTGGTGCTCAGTTGAACTGGTGCTCCTACAAGGTACTAAGTGGTCCCCGATTTTTTTAATAGTGAGCACACTGAGTGCACAGACCCATTCTTTCATGTCTAGGCAACTCAGGCCTATCGCACCAAATTTGAAGGAACGAAAAATAAAACGTTGATCTACGTTCGGAGCCCACCGCACGTGAACGTGTATCTACGTGTGGACAGTTTAAGGGTTTACACAGCCTAATTGATCAGGCCATACACAATTGGTCCAAGACTTGAATTACATGGGTGGTGACCTCCAAAATTGACAGCAGGTAACACACCCTTCAAGGTAATATTCATCAAAAGAATTGGAGGTACCTTTAGTTTCCTTGGATCATATTTGATTGTCTTCCATTCTCAAAGACGCTATATGACCCTTATAGGTTTAGCACCTCTTCTAAAAAATCAATAACATGGGTAAAATAATTGCAGAAGCTATAACTCTTGACTTAATAAACAAGGCTAGAGATGCTATACAGATCATGAGACAGGCTAGTTGGTGCACGACCATATATTTGACACATTTCTTTTAGTTAAGAAAAATCCTGTATTTTTTTAATTTAACACTGCTAACTGTGAGAGGTTTTTGGTCCCAATACTGATTATTACTGTTGTACCAAGCCAGGCATTTGACATAACTTGCATACAGTTTCTTCTTTCATAAAAAAATATAATACAGTGGACCCCCGCTTAACGATCACCTCCAAATGCGACCAATTATGTAAGTGTATTTATGTAAGTGCGTTTGTACGTGTATGTTTGGGGGTCTGAAATGGACTAATCTACTTCACAATATTCCTTATGGGAAAAAATTCGGTCAGTACTGGCACCTGAACATACTACTGGAATGAAAAAAGTTCGTTAACCGGGGGTCCACTGTATATAAATATGACTACCCACCTACCACAGTCCCCCTCCATCCTCTCTAACAATTGATACTCAAATTTCCTTTCATACAAATGGACACTGCTAGCTTTTTGCAATTCCTAGGGTTCAGCCAATCCCAATTTAGTGTGTAGGAAATTTTAAAAGAAAATTACATAACATAGCCAGACAGATTAACTATTATATAACCCTAACCATGAACTACAAAGCTTAATTCTTCCAATTAAATGTTCATGCCTTAGTTCAGAATGTTTTCTTGGCAGATGATTTGCAGCACGTGGTTTAGTGCACAAAAATGCCAAACTGAAGGAAGTAAAATTTACTAAATCTTGAGAAGCTGGACTCTCTGCAATCCAAACCATTATATTTCAAAAGTGATAAGCATTGCATTTGTAAATATTTTATAGAGCAGAGCTCTTTGAAAATAAAGAACTATTGGAAAAAGAGCCTCAGGTAAGTACTTAGAAATCATATTTGATGTGATGGTCAAAATGTTTTAAAAAATTTGAAGGAACTCCAAAGTGACAACTTCTGAACGTGATGTGGCAGTAGTAAGAAGCGACACTTAGCAGAACAAACGTTCATCGTGACAACGTTTCACTGTTCGCATCTTTGCAAGTCTAGATGGTCATCAGTCAGTGACCAGGTAAAGACTTAAATAGATGGAAATATTCTCCAAATAATAATTTGGTGAATATTTCACCACCATCACCTCTCCAACACAAGTAATCACTAAAAATGCTATATGTATGGAGATATTAGCCTGAGACTACACATTCTACAAAATATATCTAGGAGAATACCTTCAACAACATTAGCTCTGCGTAGGATGTAGATTTTGTAGCCGATGGAAAAAGAGCTGCACTTGAGAGCTAAAAGTTTTACCTGCACAGCAGGCTGTTTCCAATTGATGAAAATTAAGACACGTGCAACATCTGGGTATCTTTATTGTAGATGTTTCGCCATTCAGTGGCTTTATCAATAGAACGTAATTTGAAGACTAGAACTATATACAAAAGATGAGGTAATCAGTCCCTCAGCCTTGGAGTTGGTGTGAAGAGCATCATAGTCATGAAGATTCTAGAGCACAGGCAAGAAAGCTGGCGCTTACGTACTATGCCCTTGACAAGGGCATAGTTACTGGTAGGTGGGATTCCCCAGTGGAAGTAGATCATACCCAAAGGGATGGGTTAGTTGTAGCTGTGAAAGTTGTGTCGATGTCCTCTGAACGAAAATTCCATGATGTTGCAGTGTCTGACAAGTTGTACAAGAATGGTATACAATACCAACAAGATGAAAATTAAGACGTGCAACATCCGGGTATCTTTATTGTAGACATCTACAATAGATACCCAGATGTTGCACGTCTTAATTTTCACCTTGTCAGTATTTTATACCATTCTTGTACAACTGTTTCCAATTGTTCATGGTAGTCTTATACCATTTATTTTTTTTTTTTTTTGGTGGCATAAATGGACCTATGGGGTGGTAGACCCTTATTAAATGTAGTAACCCTATTGTACTACTGTGAAAGTTCGCATACTATTAATGATCATTCATTTCCATGGCCATTATTTTCAAAAGTTTCCCTTTCATCAGCATGCAAACATACCATGGGCATTATTCAGACTAGGAAAATCATTTACTTGAAAGGAAACTAAAGCCATAATTTAATTCCCCATTTATTTACAATGCTGGTAATATAAAAATGCTTTCATAGAGAAGTGCCATTATAATTAATAAATGCATCTATAAGAATGGAAGCAGGATACAGTGACTCGTGTAGCAGTATACATTACTACACTTTCAACTTTCTTCCGTTGTCTCCTAAAATTAGTGGCAGTTGTATGCTATATTAATGCGAGCAAGTGTTATGCATAATATAATACAGTTGTAATTTCCTAAATTATATCAAATATACACACAAAAACTTTTAACATATGATCAATTTCACTTTAAATAGTATAAGGCAAGTTCGTCTCTTGACATACTGTACTTCGTTTGGTTTAAAACAGTAAGCAAATGCAATGTTATAATGGAGGGTTATTACTGGTTTGGTTCATGTGTAAGGTACCTGTAGTGAATTATTTAAGACTAGTTAAATGCATATTACCTAGTTTTTCAATATTTACTCAGTGCTCCTTGCTTTTAATTTAGTATGAGGTCAACCTTCTGAAAACTTATTAGCAAGGTTATGTTGCAGCTCATTAGCCAGAGTGACCACTATAGCCTGGCTAATTGAGCATTTTTTTTTTCCATCGGCCAAGCATAATGTAACGTAACATACGTGGACATAACCTGAAGAAAACTTAAACTTGTCGGACTAGAAAATAGCTAATATTTAGTTTTACATTTGTAGCCAGTTTTGTGGCAATAATTTTTCAAATTGCAGTATGTACAATATATACAAAGATGTGCTATTTTTCCATAGATTATAAGTGTTCTCTATGGCAACATGTCACAATGAAATGTAATATTTATATAATGAGATCCACAATTCATACCATTAACTAGTTGGTCACTTATACTATCACATTGGAAAAGACCTGGGAAGAATATACATATTGAAGAAAACTGTGCATTTTGTGTGTAACACAGAGGCACATTGTTCCTGACAGCAGTAAGGTACTGCTATAAATACCAGAAAAAACTGTTCATGGTAAAGAATGTAGCCATTACACAAATTTGAACATTAATTCAGAATTGGTAATATGCTATGGGTAGAAAACTAAAACATAGGTGAATGAAGCAAAATGCTTCCTGCTGTTGCTCCTGGGTAACCAATCAAAACCCAGAAAGCAGGAAGAAACTTTGTAGATTGGAGAAATGGTTACAAAATAATTTCATTGCCACCTTCTCTAAAGTTCAAGTCCCACTACTTTAAATCAACAGAGCAGTGACAACTTCTAGCAAACCCATGAATGTTATCAATCCTGTATATGACATCTGTATCATGCTTGAATCGACTTCCTTTATTCAAATATTGTACATTAAAAAAATTTGTAATCAATGTACTGTACAGTATTAAAAAGATTATTATAAATCTATAAAAATAATTTTTAAATATGGTACATGAAACAGACAAAACAAATACTAAAGACTGTACAGTATTCTTTTAAATGTGCTCTATATCCCCCCTCAAGGAAGGTGCATATAAGACAGCGAGGGACTCTTGGTCCAAGGAATAGACCGAGAGTCCTTGGATCAAACCTGAATGCTTCCCTTTCCCCCAGGCGCTGCATAACCCTTATGGGCTTTGCGCTCTCCTCCTAAATATAACTGCTCTATGCCTCAACCTCTGGAGGTACACCAAGATAATGTTTGGGAGGTTTCAAGCCAGTTCTCACAGTGAGGATCACACTCCGGTTCAGACTAACTGCTGGATAGAGGACTCCATTTACTCCGGTCAATGACAAATATCCCTGAAAGAAGATAATTTACATTATCTTTTAATTTTTACATAGGATTTAATGGGTAAGTTAAACCTAACAAGTGTCTACTTCATGTATAAAAAGACATGTTATACTAAAATGGCCCCTCAAGGAAGGTTCCTTGATGTTGGTGAGGGGCTCTTGATTTAGGGAATTGGATCTGTGCTCCAGTTCCCCGAATTAAGCCTGAATGCCTTCCACATCCCCCCCCAGGCGCTGTATAATCCTCCGGGTTTAGCGCTTCCCCCTTGATTATAATAATAATAATATACTAAAATAATATTTGCCTACACAGCTGAAATATTTTGCTGTGTCATTTTTACCCTGGTAAGAGGGTTTGAGCAGCTAAACCTATGGGGGAGGGGGGGGGTTATGCAGTGGGAAATGGGAGGCAATCGGGGAGCATGTCCAATTCCCTGTATCAAGAACCCATCACCAACATCAAGGTAACTCGAGGAAAAAAACTGCTCTGATTTATGGGTACAGTTAATACAGGCAGAATCATAGTACAGTGTGTGCCTATAATATACTTGAGCAGTGCTCTATGACTTGTGGGGCTGTATAGTCCTTGTGGCTTAGCGCTTCTTTTTGATTATAATAATAATATGACTTGTGGGTTTAGCACCTAATTTTGATTGTAATAATAATAATGTAACAATACTTGGTGAGCTCAGTTGTAAGATTTAGTCCTAGAACTGTGTTTATCCAGTACTTTAAGCAAAAAAAAAAAATGTTGCTGTCATCGTAGTAAATTGTTAAAACTGAAAACTTATAATCAATACTACTACAGCCCTTGTGATTTACTGCTTCTTTTTTATTATAATAATATCAATACTAATTAGCTGTTATTGTGAACAGTTAAGTACCATAATACAGATAATTTATGTTAAATGACAGTAAATTGCGAGTCATAATGATAGTGAATTATTTACCGTCGGCAACATTTAAACGTTAAAAGCGCCTAGAAAAAAAAATTCTAGTACTTTGTAAATACCATACACCTCTGATCATTCCCAGATACAAAGCACAAAAAAAATTATTAAATTTAGCAATAAACTGCAAGGATATTTTAATTAGTACAAATCCAAACCAGTACTCGCCTGTGTGTAGTTGCAGGGGTTGAGTCTTAGTCCTGGCCCCACCTGTTGACTTGCCAGATTCACACATTCCTAGCCTTGTGGTCCCTAATGTACCTATTCTTAAAACTATGTATGGAGTCTGCCTCCACCACTTCGAGGTCAGTGTGCTTCCTGAACACCCTGAGACTGCAGAAATGCTGCCTCATATCCCATCCCTGTGACTCTTCTAACTTCCAGCTGTGCCCCCAAGTACAAGTTTCCTACTTCTCAAACAGCCTGTCCCTGTCTGCCCTATCAGTTCCTCTGGTATTTTTCATTAAGGGTATATTACACAGTCTGCTGAGCCTTTTGCTTTTCAAGGAGTGATTTCTGTGTGCAGATTTGGGACCAGTAGCTCTTAAGATTTTCATGGTGTAAAATTATGTATATTTCTCACCTGTGTTCCAAGGGTTACAGGTCAAGGGATTTCAAATGTTTGCAGTAATTAAAGTACTTGACAGAACTTATACATGTAATGAAAGTTCTCCACATTCTCTAAAACTGCAATTTCTCCTGCCTTAATCATAAAGTAACAAGAAACATTGTGGGAGGTAATCAGATTACATTCAAGAAAAAGGAGACAAGCTTCTCCAGTTCCTCAAATCAAGAGCCCTACAATCAAGCTTGTCAGATATGAAATAAATCACCAATTTTATATTTTGATTTTAGTGTACTTACAATGAAAAAACTATAAAAAGATCTATAGGCCCCCAAAAAGTTTATGGATGACTTTTAAAGTGGTGTAAGCAAGGAAAGTCTTGAATTTACAAATAAAATTACCAACACAATATTAATACAATCATGGGAAATCCTTTCATGAAGGTGTCTTGCTGGCAGTGAGTGGGCTCTTGATGCAAGGGACTGGACTTTTGTTTCACTTCCTTGGAATGAACCTTACTGCTGCCCTCCCTCCAGATGCTGTATGATCTGTGTATGTTTAACACTTTCCATAAATAACAATAACAATAATACAGCATCTGAGGAGTGGGAGGCAATCAGGTATCACAAAAATAGAGTAGCTCAAATTCTTTGAATCTAGAGGCCTTCCCTTGAAGAGAAGTACACTAACTTTTATCAAAAGGGCTATGAAAACCGGAGGGAATTTCTTAATTTTTATGTCTTATCCAATATTACACCCTTCAAGAAGGCTGTCTTGATGGTGGTTATCTTGTTCCAAGGAATTGGAAATCTACTTTTCCCAGGCACTGTATATGACAGCTCTGACACTTACCCATGCAAACAATAATCCATACTATTTCAAAATAAATTAAGGGCTTTTTTTTAAAGAAAATCCTACTTACCTGCAAGTCCCCATTAACATAGAAGCCAAGGGTTTTCTCAGGTAAATTGAGCAATAATCCTACAGTATCTCCAGTCCGGACACCCCCTGCTGAGCGGTTGAAGTGCTCTCCACTGTGCATCAGCCATGAACGCTCGTTGTCAATGTACATGCTCCAGCTACCTCCACATTTTCCTGCAAAGCAAAAATTATTAGACAAAAGAATATTTGTCTGATGGCCCTATAGTCTGAAGTGTAGCACTATGCTCATTTGCCAATTATGGAAATGAAAAAGTAAATTTAAATTGAAGAATACTGAAAATGCAAGCTATGATTGCACAACTTAAAAGGGTTTATTGTACATTGTATCATATATTACTGCATCAGAAGTTTAGTACATTTTTGTGAATACGAGTAACATGATGTTCAATGATGACAAATTGAAACTGCTCAGATATGGTAGTACTGTAATGACCTCAAAAGGAGCACTAGATATAAGACACAGGAGGACCATCTCATTGAAAGAAACGTGTAAAAGACTGGTATAATGTTAGATGACCCTCAATAAAACTAATGCTATTAAGGCTAGAAAATTGATAGGGTGGATAAGAATTTTAAAAATACAAGAAATAATGGTAATCATAACACTATTCAAATGAATGGAAAAAGCTAATACTAAGGCCAGGTTCAGTCACATGTGTTCTAAAGATGGAAACAGTAATGTACTGGGAAAGGCAAGCATCTCCATGAACAAGGTTGTGGTTAAGATTCAAGCCAGAGATCCTTTATATTAATTAAAGCTTACCTTGATGGGAAATGGCCGATGTGCTAATAGTAAAAAATAAAGCTCAAGTATCTTAGGTAGAATTTGTAATACCTTTAATATATATAAGTAAAACTTCCTCAACCTTTTGACCACTATCAATTTGAGCTTTTCTTCCTTAACACCTTGTCCATCTCCTCACTGAGGCAGGGTGACTCGATAAAGAAAAAAAAACCTTCACTGTCACTCATTCAGTCACCATCTTGCCAGAAGTACACCAACATTACAGTACCGAGGACCCTCCAAACCTACATTCTCACCCTTCCTTCAGAGTGCAGGCACTGTACCTCCCACCAGACTCAAAGGACAGCTAATTGGTTTCCTTGAATCCCTCATAAATATTACCTTGCTCACACTCCAACAGTACATCAAATCATTAAAATTAGAGCTCAAATACAGTATTTACCAAGAATCATTTCCTTGCATATATCAATTCTTGAAAGTCCAAAGGCAATGTCTGCATTTCCATCATATTTTTCTATGTTGAATTCCCAGTAGTGTATTCCCCTTGAGAAGCCAACACTTCCCAGAGCCACACGGTGCTCATAAGAGTCACAGCTGATAGTGAAGCCATTCTCAGATATCGTATGATCTAGGTGATTGGACTCTAAGGTGAACCATGCAACTGAAAAATTAAATATATTATAAAAAAAATGCTCATTGTTATACTATACAGAATACACGTACTTTATTCATAACTACAGTGGAACCTCAAAAATCGAACTTAATCCGTTCCAGGAGCTACTTCTAAATTCGAAAAGTCTGAAATTCGAAGCAATATTTCCCATAAGAAACAATGGAAATACAATTAATCCGTTCCCGAAACCCAAAAATATTCACACAAAAAATACATTTTATAGAGATTAATTACAGTTTTACATACAACAAATACTATAGTTTTTAATTATGTATAGTAATACATATAAAATAACATTTTTACTTACCTTTATTGAAGATTGGTGATGGCATCTGGAAGATAGGGAGGAGGAGAGAGGGAGTTGGGGTTAGTGTTTGGAAGGAGAATCCCCCTCCATGAAGACTTCAGGTAAAGCCCTCTCTTGGGTTACTTTCCTTCTCTGTCTTTTAATGCCACTAGGACCAGCTTGAGAGTCACTGGACCCCTGTCTCACAAAATAACTGTCCACAGTCCTCTGTTTCTGGTGCCTCTTTAACATTTCCCTAAAATGGGACATGGTTCTGTCACTGAACTTGTTGCAAAGATAGCTTGTTTCAGCTTGCTCAGGGTGGTACTTCTGCACAAACATTTGGACATCATTCCACTTGGCACAAATCTCCTTAATCTTTGAAGAAGGTACCTCAGCACGCCCTATATTTAACACCTTCCGCACCATCACTTCCTTGATTTTTCATTACTTTGGTACAGGATAGAACCGATGGTCGACTTGTTTTTCCCATACGATCTGCAACTCAGCAAATCTCACACCCCTCTCATATTGTCTTCTGTATTATTTCCTTCGCTTCACATCTATGTGTTTCTCACTTCTTTACCACAGGGTACAACTAGCAAGTTTCTTGGCCCATGCAGCTTATTTCACAGTCCCACCCACAAGCACAAACACAAACGAAATAAATTGTATAATGTGTGAAATGAGAGCGCAGGTTAGTGTTCACTCAAGCATAAACTAAGCTAGACTGCTCACGTCGCCTGGCGCGGACGTCGACAAGCGGGCGGCCAGACAGGTCCCGTACCCGGCGGTCCGAAAATAGGAGGGGCGTGTTCGATAATAGGACACATGTTATCCTGAAAAATGGTCCTATTTCGAAACGTTCAGTTGTGTTTATGTTCGATTTTTAGGTTCCACTGTAACTCATAATTTGAAGATGAAAAGTGGAAGAAGGTTTAGTCTTCCTGATCATTCAAGTTGGGAGCAAAAAGAGAAAAGGAGAGCAACTGAAAGTATTTTAGAGCAAGGCGGTTGCAGACAGAGCCGAGTCAGGTTTAACTGCTTCTTCTCTACCCTTTTCTATCTCAATTGTCCAGTTTTACATATAATATTGTCCAGTTTAATCTCCAATTTTTTGAGTTATTGGTAGTTATGAATTGTTCCAGCCACTATAATGTACTTTGTCATTACACCAAGTCAACATATGCACGATTACAATTAAAAAGAAAAAAACTTCACACCAAATATTTTATAATTTTTTTTGATTAATCACCCCGGCCGATTCCCAACCAAGCAGGTGCCCAAAAAGAAAAACCTTTCACATCATTCACTCCATCACTTCTTGCCCAGAAGGTGCATTACACACAGTTTTTAAACTGCAACATAACACCCATCCTTCAGAGTGCAGGCACTGTACTTCCCATCTCCAGGACTCAAGTCCGCCTGCCGGTTTTCCCTAATCCTTCATAAATGTTACTTTGCTCCACACTTCACAACAGCACGTCAATATTAAAAAACCATGTGGTCTCCATTCACCTCCTATCAAACACCTCAACTTAGCATCCTGCTGAAGCTCCAAGCCCTTCGCACCAAAACCTCCTTTACCCCCTCCCTCCAACTTCCAACCCTTCCTACCACCCCACCCCGCCTTCTTCCACTACAACTGAATTACACTCTTGAAGTCAAGTCAGTTTCGCTCCATTCTCTCTTCATGTCCGAAATACCACCCCTCAACAACCCTTCCTCAGCCCTCTGGACAACATTTGTAATCCCCGACCTCCTCCTAACTTCCAAACGACGAATTCCTCGCATTATATTCACAACCACACATTGCCCTCAAACATGACATCTCCACTGCCTCCAGCCTTCTCCTCGCTGCAAACATTTCATCACCCATGCTTCACACCCACATAAGAGCGTTGGTAAAACATACTCTCATTACATTCCCTCTTTGCCACCAAGGACGAAAGTTCTTTGTCTCCACAACTCCTAAGTGCACCCACTCACATCTTTTCCTCACAATTCTATGATTCACTCATCTTTCATAGACCCATCCGATGACACGGCCACTCCCAAATATCAGAATTACTTCACCTCCTCCATACTCACTCCCTCCCAATCTGGATATACAAACTTCATCACCTAATCTTTTGTTATCCTCATAAACCTACTCTTATCTGTATTCACCTTAAATTTTCTTCTTTTGGCTCACCCGCTATCTGTGGCAAATTCTTCCACCAATCTCCTGCAACTGCTCTTCAAACTCTCCCAGAGCACAGTGTCATCAGCAAAGAGGCAGCCTGTGACAACTCCCACTTTGTGTGTGATTCTTTATCTTTTAACTCCACGCCTCTTGCCAAGACCCTCGCATTTACTTCTCGTACCAACCCCATCTAAAAATATATTAAACAACCACGTGACATCACACATCCTTGTCTAGGCTTACTTTTACCTGGGAAAAATTTCCCTCTTCCGACATACCTCTATACTTGAGCCTCACTAATCCCTCGTAAAAACTCTTCACTGCTTTCAAGTAACCTACCTCCTACACCATACACTTTGCAACATCTGCCACATGCCCCCTATACACCCGGTCATACGGCCTTTCCAAATCCATAATGCCACAAAGACCTCTTTAGCCTTATCTAAATACTTGTTCACTTATATGTTTTCACTGTAAACACCTGGTCCACACACGCCCTCTACCTTTGCAAAGCCTCCTTGTTCATCTGCTATCCTATTCTCCGTCTTACCTTAATTCTGTCAATAGAACTCGACCAACACTTTACCCAGTACACTCACAGACTTATTTACCCCCTAGAATTTTTTGCACTCTCTTTTAGCCCTTGCCCTTTAATCAAAGAACTTGCATGCTCTCTGTGCAATCCCTCGGTACCTTAACCTTTCCATACATTAATATCAATTAATTGCAAACAACCACTCCAAAACTATATCCCCGAACTCTTTTAACATTTTCCTAATCTTTATCTCCAATCAATCCCGCTGCCTTAACCCAACCCCCTTTCATGTTACCTACTGCCTCACGAACTTCCCCCACACTACAACTGGCTCATCCTCACATCCAACAAGATGTTATTCCCTCCTTGCCCTATAACAACGAAATCACATCTTCCCTATCTCATCAACATTAACAATTCCTCAAATATTCCTTCTCATCGTCCAATACCTCTCACTCTCCATTTAAAACTCCCTCTCCTATTTTTTACTGACAAATCCATTTGTTGTCCTCTAGCTTTCTTAACTTGGTTAAGCTCACACCAAAACTTTTTTTTATTTTCACAAAATTTTTATAACATCTCACCCACGTCTCTCTTTTTGCTCACTTTTTACAGTTGCTTCACCTCCTCTCTTAACTTCTCTCTTTTCTCCATATACTCTTCCCTCCTTGCAACACTTCTCTTTGTAAAAACTTCTCTATGCTAACTTTTTTCTCACCTTACTACTCTCTTTACATCATCATTCCACCAATCGGCTCCTCTTCCTCCTGCACCCCACGTCCTGTAAACCACAAACTTCTGCTGAACACTCTAACACTACAGTTTTTAAACCTACCCCATACCTTCTTCGACCCCATTGCCTATGCTCTCATTAGCCCATCTATCCTCCAAGTAGCTGTTATATCGTACCCTAATGCCTTCCTCTTTTATTTTATAAACCTTCACCTCTCTCTTCCTGAATGCTTTCAATTCCCTTGTATCCCATTTACCTTTTTACTCTCATGTAGTACACTAGAAAGTGATCTGATATATCTTGGCCCCTCTATAAACATGTACATCCTGATGTCTACCAACAGTCTTTTATCTACCAATACAATAATCCAACAACGACTGTCATTTTCCCTACATCAGAATCGTGTATACTTTTATATCCTCTTTTTCTAAAAGAATGTATGACCTTAACTAAACCCCTTTCTATACAAAGTCAATCAAAAGGGCTCCCATTATCATTTACACCTGGCACCCCAAACTTACCTACCACACCCTCTCTAAATTTCTCGCTACTTTAGCTGCAGTCCCCTACCAGCTATTACTCCTCTCACTTGGTTCAAAGGCTCCTATACATCACTAACATCTCCCAAAATCTCTCTCTCTCCTCTGCATTCCCTCTCTCCAGTGCATCACTTATTATACCCACTTCTCGCATCCAACCCTTGACTTTAGCCACGATAAATCTTGAATTTACACATCATATTCTCTTTTCTCCATCCATAACGATCATTAACATTACGAGCGTACCCCTTCCTTCTCTAACTCTCTCTGATACTCCAGATTTAATCCCATTTATTTCCCCAACTGACACTCTCCTACCCCCTCAGCGTGTTCGCTTAGTCCAGACATCCAACTTCTTTTCATTCATAACATCAGCAATCATCTGTTTTCTTGTCACCGCATACATCCACGCACAATTAACAACGCCATTTTATAAATATTTTCTTCTTCTCTTTTTAGTAATTGTATACAGGGAAAGGGTTACACCCATTGCTCCCGGCATTTAGTCGCCTCATAAGATTCGAAACGCAGGGCTTACGGAGGAAAGATTCTTTTCCACTTCCCCTTGGACAATTAAGATTATAAAAAAGAACAAGACTATTAGAAAAGGAGAAATACCTAGATGTAAGTATAGACATATATATATGCAATGTGCGTGTCTGTGAAGTGTGACCAAAGTGTAAGTAGGAGTAGCAAGATATCCCTGTTAT